CAATCTATGGAGGCATTCCAGCGGAATCGTCGTCGTCTGCACCTAGGCAGAAGTGGAATATCTGTCTAACTAAAGCGCACGCGTTACCTCACTACGACGAGTTTTTAAATGCTGCAATTGGCTAACAAGGCCTTTACCGCTAACTTCTGGTTGGTTACAAGGTTAATAGCCAACCAGAAGTTTGTGATCTTAACTTATGAAAGTGGCACGGACTATTACTGATACCAAGACCCAGTGGGACTGCGCAATACAAGTTTATTCAGGAGCACCTGTGGGTGACCTGTCATCACCAGGTCACAAACTTCGCCAATCGAAAGGCAGCTCATCTGCAGTGTTGTCTCTGCATCCCCGTCCAAGTTAATATCTTCACTGTGATGGACTAAACACGTTAACATATACGGTTAATTTAAACCCGAGTCAGATGGCTTTCAGGAAGGGAATATCACTTTAATAAGCACCATGCGGGGCGTGGGCCACACGAATTCACTATTAGTAGACTTCTGGAGTCGACGAAACCAACAGCCGATTCATGTACAAACGTTAAGGCTAAAAAGCGATATAATTTTTAGCCTAAATAAATGATTAACGACTGAACGTTTGAAGCAATCGAGTTACGATGATAACACTGTCGCGACTGGTGAGGAGTTTTTCGTGATGTTCTGTTCCCCATGAAGACCCAAGCAGGTTAAGCATTTGAACGATGGGTTCTTCTTCGTCGCCTTCAGTTATGAGTTATGTGAAGTAAAGGATAATAAAACTCGCATGCGTGAATCTCAAGGGAGAAAGTGTCTGCTTGCTTTAACAACTCCACAAAGACATTCCAGGAGATCCAATGAAAAAACAACTACGGAGCCTTGAATACGCCTTCCGTCGATCCGGTCTGTAGTCAAAATTGTGCTGGCCAAAGTGCACCGTCATCCGCTGACCGAAGCAGCCCTCTTAGCGACCAGCTCAAACACTTAGTTTTCCCAAAAATTAAAAGTTCGCGAGCGCTCCAAAATTAGCATGACATACCTAACGCCGTAGCCGGACAACTCGATCCTCCTTTCAAACTTGGGGTTCGGCTCCTGCTTTACTTTGCCTCTATAATGAATTTCACTCCTGTGTGCAACAAGCGATTGGCGGCGACGTTACTGTGTCCACTTTTATTCCAAGTGAGGTTGATTTGAGCCAGGCACTTACGTATGGGAAAAGAAGGAGAGTGAAGGTATTCCTATTTGGATCCAAAGCTTAATTTCGCCTTAAAAACCATTAAACTCGTCTTCACGACGCGCTAATACCCGTGGCCCGACATGTTCTCAAACAGCAGGATGATTTGGTCCAAGTCAGGACCAGGAATCAGTGCACCCTAAAAAGCTCCCCACCATCAGTGATATCCAGAACGTGTGGAGTTGGGAACCAGGGCCTGAGGCACGCGAAAACTAGCAGTTTAGTTGTGTCAGTTACTGCATCTACGACTAGCTCGGGTTATTTTAATTCTGGCTTGCCACTAGATGGCGACGGGTATGAGGAAGTAAGGTACGTCGCGTGTCACCCAAGTCTGCTTCACAATAAACAAATTAAGCGTAAATCACTCATAGCTACATTATTGTGGACTCTAGAGCTCGCGACGATCACGCCACTGTAAAGGGGCCAGAATCTGTGGCACAGGCAACCTAAGCCACTGATCCCAATAGCCTATGACATAATTGTGAATAACACAACGGATGCACAGCTTGTTTTCCTAACTGTAGTAAAGCCTACCCAGCGAAAGTTATGACTTCGCACGGGGTGCCAACTACCGGGGTAGCTTTGTTTCTCTCTACCACACAAACACTGGTAGATGAAAAAAGTCACCATCTTGAGGACGCAGCAGTGACTTATGACTAAATTCACTGGCCGACGCCTTGAGACTCACATCAAGGAACATAAGT